CAGGCTAATCGAATGTAGGGAAAAATACCTAAAGTTATAAAATAACGATGAAAACATTTTTATAGAACAAAAGTGTAACTCGCTCTCACATCAATGGTCACACAATTGCTCCTGTTTTTGTGCCAAATAAATAATGCATTGTTGCATTTTTTAATAGCTCACTTTCCCTCTCCTTTATCACCCACAGCCCTTCTATCATTCTTTCAGTCCTGTAGTCTTTATTCTCCCCCCCCCCGCCCCCCCTTCAAAAATTAGCCATACTATACTTGTGCATGAAATGTTCCTGCCTCCCTTATTTTATCATCTGTGGTTAAAACATTCTTCAAAGCTGCCCCTAGTTATCTAAGTGACTTACTAAACTTGATATAATGCACCACATGAGCGGGTACAACCAAGATAACAACACAAGTAGTGGCAAGTTGTTGCCCACAATTCCTACATGTGTGAAGTATTCTGTGTTGTTTACTGACTACATCTTTACAGATACACGTACTGTAACTATTGTGTGTACTGTAACATTGCAGAGACCTTGAAACCACAAGATTTGACTCAAATCTGTTTTGTAGGTATTTTCATCGGTTTAAAGCTGCATTCCATTTATCTTTGGTTTGTGAAGTTATTTTTGTTTCTTATCTGATTATTAAATGTGCCTACACTGTAAAAAAAAAAAGATTTTTCAAAGCTGTAAATAAAACAAAGATTATTGGAGTATGTTTTACAAGAAAATAATATTTCAGAACATTAAAATTTCATTCTTAATTCAATGTGTTACTTGAGATTTCTTTGTAATTAATTGTGAAATTGACTAGCAATTTCTGAGTGAAAAATTTTTCTACATCAATTTTTTTTTTCAGTGTAGATATTTTTTTCAAACCACTACATTTCTACACAATCCTACGGTGGCCGAGAGACCTCAACGCGCTGCAACTTCAGAAAACACATGAAAAAAAAATTTAAAATAGAAAAAGCACCAGCAAATCAAGAAAACATCTTCAGGTGGAAAGCAGGTGCTGCAAATGCTCACAACACAAACAAATAAAGAAACGCACTGCAAATGCTCACAACACAGCCAAACAAAGAATTTTATTTGCAGCATGTTTCTTTGTTTGGTTGTGTTGTTAGTATTTGCAGTGTGTTTCTTTATTTGGTTGGGTTGTGAGCATTTGCAACACGTGTTGTCAAATTGATAAAGTTGTTTTCTTAATTTGCAGGTGCTTTTTTCTATTTGCAGTGCATTTCTTTATTTGGTTGTGTTGTGAGCATTTGCAACACATGTGTTGTCAAATTTATGAAGTTGTTTTCTTAATTTGCAGGTGTTTTTTCTATTTGCAGTGCGTTGAGCTCTCTCGGCCACCGTACAATCCCCTTCCAAACATTGTAATTATTCCAAAAGCAGACTCAGATGTTTTCGAAAGCTTTTTAATGTTTACCTAGAGTGTATACTGTATATGGGTTGACTGGGGCTAGATGTCACATTTTTAGCATTTGTAGCATTTGTTGAATATGCATCAAGCATTCAAAGACTTGTTATCAGAATATATTATGAGAATGCTAATTGTGCAACAAGTATGTGGTTAAATTTAGTAATTTTATTGAATTAAATCAAAGCAAGAGAATTAAGTAGTAAGCCTACTTTATGCAGCACATGCATGACACATGTTCCCTATCGATACTTCACTCGCACTGCGTCTGCTAAGACTATGGGGAAAACTCCTTTTTCTCCGATGACTGAAGCTTTTTCAATAACAGTGTAACTGCACGGCCATTGGTTCGTGCAGTAAATTAAAACTGCCTGGACTCCCCTGGACGAGTCTGTGGCCACACATCTCTGCCCGCCCATGGCTATCGGCTGGAAGATGAAGGTCGCTCACCCATACAAGCCATGCAGGATGACGTCAGCCCTCGCCGGACGAGCCTACGCATCTGCTGGACAAGCGGCCTCTGTGCTTCATTCCATGGTGGTCTTACAGGTCTATCAGGCCAAACTCCTCCAGAGCATAGATGACCTAGCAGCTTTTAAAGAGCTGCGCAGAGTGACCGACTTGGCTTTACGTACCACCAAGATCATGGCCCAGGCGATTGGCAGGTCGATGGCCAGCTTAGTGGTGCTCGAGCGCAACCTATGGCTGACCTTAACAGAGATTAAGGATGGGGACAAAGTCCCCTTCCTGGAATCCCCGGTCTCCCCCTCTGGCCTCTTCGGACCTGTGGTTGAGGGATTCGCCGAGCGCTTCACTGCTGCACAGAAGTCGTCCCAGGCCATGCGACACTTCCTTCCCAAGCACTCCAGCTCTACGGTTGCTTCTAGTCCAAAATCAGTGCAGACTCAGCAGCCCCCGAAGCCCGCACCTCCAGCCACCCAGGCGGCTCCCAAGCCTGAGCCTCGCCAGTGCTCCCGCTCTGCCAGACGCTATCCATTTCCAAAGCGTCAGGGACCCCAGCCCAAGTTAGCGCTGGACCCGGCGCCTCAGGCGTCCTCCTGATCTGTGGGAAAGGAAGAGGAGGGGGCCAAGTCTCGCTACGGCCGGACCTCCCACCAAGCAGCCTCTGTTATGGCTCCAAGCACCCAGTTCTGGGTGCCGACGGCAGTGTGTTTGTGAACACTGGGCACATTCAAAAAGCGCCCACACTACCAGCCGCTGTTATAGCTGAAAGAATAAAACACAAACACTTTCAAAAAGAGAGCATATTTCCTCTTCCGCTTACCACAGGTGTCGGGTCCCCACAAGGCGATCCTCCACCCGAATTAATCCAACCCCTTGCCACACGGGCCGAGGCCTGGCAGGCCATCCCCGGAGTGTCAGACTGGGTTTTGGGGATAATAAAACGAGGTTTCACTCTTCAGTTAGCTCGAAGACCCCCGCGCTTCCGCGGCATGGTTCCCACCTTGGTTCAGAGCAAGGATGCTCAAATCCTGCGCTCCAAGGTGATGAATTTACTGTCGAAAGGAGCCATAGAAATGATTCCCCCAGGTCAGAGCGAGTCAGGCTTTTACAGCCGTTACTTCCTCGTCCCCAAAAAGGGTGTCAGTCTTCGACCCATTCTCGATCTCAGATGCCTGAACCGTGCCCTTATGAAACGGCCGTTTAGGATGATTACTTTGAAACAGATCCTCTCGCAAGTATGCCCAGGGGACTGGTTCTTTTCTCTGGATCTGAAAGATGCGTACTTTCACATCCAGATAGCCCCCCATCACAGACAATTCTTGAAATTCGCCTTTGAGGGAGTGGCATATCAATACACGGTCCTTCCATTTGGACTGTCCCTAGCTCCTCGCACTTTTACGAAGTGCATGGACGCGGCTCTTTCTCCTCTGAGACAGATGGGAATCTGTGTTCTGAATTACCGTGATGACTGGATCATGTTAGCCCAGTCGGATGACGAGCTACTATCTCACAGATCGTTT